GACGAGAACGCCCCGCCCCCCGTCAAACAGGCTCCGCCTCTTCCCGCTCTTAAACGGGCAACGCGCCCAAGAGGCGCGGGTGGGTCCCACCGCGTCCCCAAACCCCCCCTCTCACCCCGGGACCCCCCCCCGATGCTGTTCCCGCTGCCCCCAGAGCCACTGACACCCCCCCCGACCCCCAAAGAGAGCAGCGGGGCCGGTGGTCTCAGCTCCATCTTTATTGGGGCAGAGGAGGAGAAGGGTGGGCGCGGGGGGGGGGGGGGCCAGGAAGGGGAGGGGGTCCTGAGGGGTCCAGAGGGGTCTCTGGGGAGCCCCCCCTTAGCTGGTGCGGACTTGGTAATCTGCAGGGGAGAGAGAGGAGGTGAGGAGGGGGCTCCCGTGCTGGGGGTCCCGGGGGAATTCCAGAGGAATTCCAGAGGAATTCCAGGGCTCCCAGGCTGGGGGTCCCAGGCTGGGGGTCCCGGGGGTCCCCGACTCACCCCCGCTCTGGGTGATGTAGCGCACCCAGGGCAGCGCTTGGTACCCGCTCTTCTCGATGATCTTCATGTACCGCACCTGGTGGGGGGGGGGGACAGGTGGGGAATGACCCCCCATCCCTCAGGTACCCCCAACCCCTCCCTCCCCGGGCCCCCCGAGACACCCCCCCCTCCCAAAGCACCCTGGAACCACCCCCCGGGGCACCAAAAGAGCCCCCCCGGGGTCACCTGGATGCCCGAGACGGTGAAATAGGGGATCTCGAAGCGGACGCTGATGGGCGGCCGCCCCTCCTCCTCCTCCTTCTCCACGCTGGGCAGCCCGAAGTGGGCGCGCATCAGGTGCTCCTTCCCCCCCTGCCGACCCCACAGCGGCCACGTGGGACCCCCGCGGGGGGGGGGGACACCCCGGAACGGGGCACCCCCCGAGAGGGGCACGGGGGAGCCCCCAGGACAGGGGCAGGGGGTGGGGGGACACGGGGGACCCTCAGAGTGGGGCTGGGAGGACATGGGGGAGCCCCCCAGGACAGGGATAGGGGGTGGGGGGACACGGGGGAGCCCCCAGGACAGGGATAAGGGGTGAGGGGGGACACGAGGGACCCTCAGGACAGGGATAAGGGGTGGGGGGGCACAGAAGAGCCCCCAG